ATTTTAATGAAAACAGACATTTCACATCAGTTCAGTATACAATAATGTTCGCTTTAAGCCCTCTTACAAGGTTTGACGCTAATTTTCTCAAGAATGCTTGAGAATTTGATTGCGGGGTCACTTACAGAAATGAATTAAAGTGAGATGTTTCAAGTAGCATTCAAAACGTTACCGTGCTGTGAGCAGTTTTTTAGTAAATAATTTTTGCACTTATTGCTCGAACTTTTTTAGCAGAATCCGACTTAATTGCTTCCTGTTATTTGGAATAATGCATATTATTTTATTCCAAATTGCATTTGAAGTCATGTGACTAGTATAGTTTAAATTCATTTCTTTCGGTATTTATGGACAGACCACCTTTCTTTTGCAGTCTGTGGAGAAACCTGTTGTCTATAGCTTTACACCAAAAGGACCGTCTGATGGATTACTACACAGAGGAGCCTTTGGACTTTACTTTGCAGGAATTTTCATCTCTTTGTATGGTGTATACCTCATGATGAACGACAAGACAAAGAAATGTTCACATTGATTTTTCATTGACATCCTTGTCAATGTATGGTGGTGTTGCATTTCGCTGATAGTTATTTGTCATGTGTTGCTTCAAGTGTAGAGAAAAGGTTCTTCTTTCCAGAAATTATTCTGAATGCTTGCAAGTCAGATATCATCTAAGTCCAAGGAGTGCCACACTGTTTCTCCAAACTGTGTAACATGGTTGTTTTAGTTTGCTGTGGGACAAGCTGTTATGCCGTCGTGGAGAAATTTTACACGTTTAATGCTACCACTTGGGGATAATTAGGAATTTTGCTCACGACTTTCACCAACAACCTGCAAGTGACACTACTTGGAACGCATCTGTACAAGTACCACTATTATGACAGTAGATGAAACATTTCTTGCTGTAGGAATAGTAAGCAAATATCATACTGTCGAAACTTGCCTTCATGCACGTGTTCAATTTCTTCTGAGGTTACCATTGTGATAGGAACCATACAAGTAATAAGTATGATTGAGTAATTTGTTTCTCTTCACAACCAAGTCACTTTCTATCAAAGTATTGCATTCTTTGCTCAGAAATCTACTGCTAAATTATGAAATGGATACATCAGATGAGTTCACAACATCTTTTATTACTTTGAGGAAACTAACAATAGCAGTTATTTTTTCTGATGTAGGCCAGGTGTTCCTCAAATTGAAGGAAGCCTTAAAACAATCTTAAGTAATAATAAACTGGAAATAAACATGAATGGTTGCGACTTGGAAATATTAAGAAAGGTTATTATGAAGTAAAAAATACAGCCAAATTGGCCAAACTTTTTTACTTTTACCACCTGACGTATTTCCTTTGACACTTCAACTCATTCTTGTGGTGTAAGGTTTGGCAAAGGTGTGTTTTTGTGTGGATGTTTGTGGGGGCAATGTTAAAACAATTTTGAAATTTTCAAGCTGCTTAATGCATGTTGTTCGTAAGAATTTTTCTGTGGTGATACTGTATGCATCTTCGCGAATTGTTTTGGAGTTGAACAGTGGATGTGGAAGAATTATAAAATGAAGACTTGTTCATTGGAATATATTAATTCATGAATCCAGGAGTTTGCCCACTTTAACGTAGAGAATGTCAGGTTGGCTGGTGAGGTAGGTAATTTATTAATGGTGTATTCCACTTACCAGGGTGAAATATAATTATTTATTATTATTCTGTTGTAACACTGGAATGTATATTATTATGAACAATAAAAAAATCATTTTATTTACAATCAAGCTTGTGTCTCATTAACATCCTTGGGTGGTCTACAAACATTGAACAATTAGAACATATGGTTTCTGCCATGTCTCCATGCATTTTACTAACTTTCAGCCTGCAAGCAGGCTTATGTTTGGGAAGCACAACCAGATTGCTTTGCACTTGGATTCGCTCCTCTCTGCTTGCACATGACTCAAAAGTGAGCTTGCTAGTTGGCTAAACTTACATAGACTGATTTGGCTAACATTTTGCCACAGTATTATAGTGACCAAAAAGGGGCTTAAGGGCCCATTAACTGATTCATGCAGGTGCTCGCGCGCATTGCTAAGGAGGTGAAATTTCACTTTCGGTTCCTTACGTCAGCCTGAGTGCGGGAAATAAAAACAACTCAAAAACTTGCAAATTCGCTTACATTTAAGATGTTTTTCTTTGTGTTTCACAAAATGCAAAGTAAAAAAGGACAAGCAAAGGCAAAATAAGAGAAAGAAAAACAAGAGCAATAGAAAGAGAAAAACTAACACCATGTGGCTTTGTTTGATCTTGCCGAAGTGTGCTGGTAGTGTAAGCTGCGCACGCGCTGATAGGGTTACCTTCAATATATATCTGGTACACTTCCGGTTTCTTCAAATGCTAAAGGAAACGCTGTTTTACATTAAATCCAGCCTTTTTCGACAAATTTCGATTCAAACCAATGTTGGGAACATAGCTATGCATTCCTGTTTTGAAATCACGCTTTTTTCAGAAAATTACGAATTTTTCAATATGTTGAAATTCTCTCAAAATCTGACCTTTTAGAAATGAAACAAAATCTATGCATAGCATAATGAGGATTTAAGTTAAAATATTGACTCAATGAAAAAATCCCAATAAAGCAATTTGCCTGGGAACCTTTGCATTTTTTCAGTATTAGTCACATGACCAAGGGTGTGGCCTGATGACATCATCAATGGTACTACTGATCATGAAAAAGTTAAAACACATGAAATAACTCTGAACTAACTAAAAATGGTTACATGAGAATAAATTTTCCTTAGCAATGGCTCGAAAAGATCAGTTAATGGGCCCTTAAGAGATTCAAAATATCTGACAACGAAGATTGTTTTCATTGTAAATCCCCCGATTCCTTGGAACATGCATTTCTGGAGTGTCCTGCTGGCCTAAACCTCTTTCAAGTTCTTGCATGGTTCAATAATGAGCAATAAAGTTAAGTTTACAATAATCTTCACCCCCCTCCCCCCCCCCCCTCCATAACTCGGAAGTTTGGGATTTCAGTTGTCCAAACTAAAAAAATTTATTCTTGTGGAAGTCAGCACTATTTTTGTAATGGAAAGCTGAAAAATGTGAAAGTTAAATTAATTTAAACAGCCTTTTGTTCTAATAATCTTGTACTGTAATAATTGTAATCTTTAAGTTCTTTAGTGAAGGAAAATCCTTGTTGCCACCCAGTAAAGGTCACGCTGACTCATTACTCCCATGCAATCAGTTGCGTGTGGCAAATTGCACCATTGTAACCTCAAATGAAACAACACAAGGTCTGAATTGTGTGGTAACAAGGGTGCGAACATGTTAGCCAAATCCAACTATTAGTTTGGCAATATAAAATGGATGCTGCCTTTTTAACTGGAGAGAGTAGAGAGTGAACACTACAATGTCCCTGTCCAGGGCTCGAACCCAGACTGCTTGATCTGGAGACGAGCGCATTAACCATGAGGCCACCGCATCTCCCACCTAGCGAGTCAATGGGACGAGAAAAATAAACCAAATAACAAGCTTTATTATTCAACAATACCACTACTATACAACTCTGTCATAAATTAACGTTTCAAAATATTTTACTCACGAGTTTTACTGCAATGTGATAAACAATTGGTCACCAGTTGCCACTGTACAAGCAGTAACAAAAATATTTCATTGTGAAAGGAATTTCTCTGTGCACTACCAAAAAACACATTCTCAATCATAGAAATGGTGCATGAAATGTTCGAAATAGATGCAAATCTTCAGCACTGGTTATTAAAGCTAGACAGCATTTGAGCTAAATGATGTTAAAATCAGTGGCCACATTTGTTACTCAACTGACAATCTGGCAATTATTTCAGGTGTCCAGTACCCTTATTTAATTATCACTTTTAATTAATTTTAATCAATAGCAGATTTGCATGTTGTCGTCATTTGACTTCAACTACCACAATTTCTTTCGATATTTCTTTATTATTTAAATTTTGAAACCCCAGTGGGGTTGAAATAACAATTGCCTTCATTAGCATAAGAAACTGAAAAATTGGAGGATTCTGGTAGTTGTAGTCAAATGAAGCCATCATGCAAATCGATTATTTGTAAGAAGTTTAAATAAAGGATGTCGTTATCAATATCTGAATGCAGTTAACAAGAACTTAAGCTCATCTAAAAGTTGTTGTACTACCACCTAGTTAAATAAATAAATAACTTTATTAATGTGCCCAGCTTTTAGCTAACCTACATGTACAACTTAATAATGCATGTTAATGTAGCTGACAGGGTGTGGCTTTGCTCATAAACAAATTGCGAATACTGTGTCTTCTTTGAAATGAAAATAATGAAGAACGCACATTTGAATTCAAATTATGCATTAAGCAGCATTTTTGTTTTTAGTAAATGACAGAAAACCTGTCAATAAATAGTAAACAATATTTTAAATTTTCATTTTTTCATCAATGAATAAAAATAATAATTTACAGAAATATATTAAAAATAAATTTCTACCCTTCATGACCTCTTCCAAACACAACATTTTTACAGCATTTCTTTTAAGGTACCTTTCTTGCAACTTCTTAATATAATTTAAGATAACCAATCAGTACAACAATGCGTCTAATGAAAGCTGTTGTCACACTATGTCGTAGATATAAGACTTGTCTGCCGACCAAGTTCCTCAAAACATTTCACTGTGTAGCTTGTTATACAAAGAGCAAAATTGTTACAAGACATTTTGCTGACAATAACAGAGGCAGCTAAACTAAAGGCTAAAGGCAGTTAATGTGGCACCACTGGGATTATGAAAAACATTTAATATGTTTACTAGATATCTTCAATAAGCAAGTTAGTTTTAATGGAGAAAATAATGAACAAGGGAACCAAGAAAATAATGAACAAGGGAACCAAACTCTTGTCAGTCATATGGAGAATATTACACAGCAGCACAAAGATAAGAATTTTATTTTTGAGTGCCTGTCATAAAAACAATATTTACGAACAAGCACAGTGGGCAAGTAAAATATTGTTTTAAATTTTAACATGAGAAAATAAAAACCAGATCTTCAGGCCACCATGTAATTTTCCTTTTATTATTTGGAAAAACTGATCCTTTGTGCAAACAACCGCAAAAAGGTGGGGAATAATATCACTAATGAGGACATGGAAAATATTCCACACAGGTCGTGAATGTAGTTTCATATGAATTTTACAAGTGGTGTAGTTTCCAGTAAAACAATTGTTTTTATATGATAAAACAAGGTGTCAGTACAGGGTACAAAAGAAAACAATTTTCTGGCTTCCCCTTTGGGCATGCTGTAACAGGACTATGATGTATTAGCCCAAAAGTCATTGTCAACTAGCCGCAAAAATTCCATGTCTTACATTACTTTAATCTTTACTTTGAATTCTGCCAAGAAACTGCACTTAGCCTGTTGAGCAAGTGAGGGACAGAATCCACTGGACTGACTGCAAAATTTAGTAGCACCAGGGTATTGGACACAACTCTCTTTGCACCCACCTCAGTGCTGTATAAAGTGGACGTCCAGATTTAAAGAAAAGTGCAACTATAACAAGTAACTGTGTATTGCGCACTACATTGCATAGGTGATGTGATTAATCTGTCATGAAGCAGTTTGTCTTGCTTGCAACATTGATTTTTATATAATATTATTTCTGAAAATGCTAACACATGTGACTTGTCTCATGGTAGAGTTCTTCCAAATGTAGTTCCAGCTCTCCTCAATTTAATGATGGTATGTGTTTTCCCTGCCATTCTAACCATATTCCTGACCACTTGGTCTTCAGACAAGATACAATCTGTTGTTCTGCTATGTGACTGAAGTCCGATGGCTCTATTGAAGCAAGTACTTCTGTATACATAACCTTTGAGAACAATAACACATAAGTAACACTTTAAGGATTCATGATTTCTCATGCATAATTTGTTTGTTAAATTACAGGCTGTTGATTAACTATGCATACTAGTTAATAAGCTGTTGAAAGTTTTTTTTTTTCCTGCACCCCTGGTACATGGTTTCGTTGCTTCTTTAACTTTGCTTTCTCTGAAATGACTTGACTACATTCCATTTTCTCTCCCATATCAATGAAATTCCTGTTCCCATCACATTTTCTCTCCCATATCGATAGAATGCTAGTTCCTCTCACATTTTTTGTCCCTCCTGGCCAGTCACGAAATTATCTTTGCAGGTTGTCCCAGCAATTCTTCAGTACAGAAATCCATTTATAAATGTAACTTATTACAGCTGAATACAGAGAGCTTCTGTGTCCTGAGTCTATAATAAATATGGAGTACAGTTGGAGAAGGATAAGGGGTGAAAATGGGATTTGAGAGGAGATAAGAAGCCTTTCCTATTACCTCTTCAACTATGTAAGTATCATAGTCGCAAAATACAGAGGGCTGTGTTCAAAGCTACAGCCCTTTGCACAGACTGAAGGCCTATGAGGCTAGGCAATCACTTTTGAAGAAAGTAACAATAATGTGTTTTCACTTGACTTCATGACAGCCATAATGGTGTGCCCAAACAATACAATAATTATTTCTCTCCTCTGGGATATGAGTTCTTCTTTTATACAAACATTCCTTATAGTTTGGGAACACCAAAATGACTAGACTGAATATCCTGAGACAACAAGGGCCATAAAATTATTATTGCAACCTTATCGCTCTTAATAATTATAACTACAATAATAATTATATTTAAGATAACATTATCGCTTACTTTTTTAGTTCCATCTTCCTCTCTTATGCCAAGTCCATTGTAATGGAAAGCTTTAAATGGCTTAACCTCATCTGCAAATGAATCCTGCAATAATATTCAAACATCTCACCGTTAACTTGTCCCAGTTAATGAATGTTCAGTGTACAGGCTTAAGACCACAAAGTCTAATTTTAACAGTTAAGTAGTTGGTTTAGCAAATTTTCTTCTGGAAGATTTGATGATCTCATACCTAGGAGATCTGTCAGTAATGTTAGCAGCTTTGTCATATTACTAAATTTTCTATAAATTAGCGATCTTTATTAGCTTGACTGATAACAAAACTCTTTTGTACAAATATATCAACACATTTAATGCTCCACCATACCTCCCCAGGAAAGAACTCTTTCAGAAAGTTCTGCAGAAGAATTATTCCCATAGAATCTTGATCTAGATGTTCCTTCATAAAGGATACACTAGAAATGGAAAAAAGCATAATGTTTGAAAATAAATAACATTATTATAATGACAAGGTAGTCTTGAGGTAAATCTGAGTGTTCTGATTGGTTCTTTCTTGGTCAGGATTTTGCCATACAGACCATAAGCCGTGTATTTTTGTTTTCAAGTCCCATATGCATACAATAAACTACTTTAACCTAGCTTGCTCAAGCCGAACTGAGGATTATTTGCCCTACATGTAGGTCAGTTCCACGACCTTGAGCCAATTATATCCTCTACAAAATAACGATGAGAAATGACCAAGTTCTGCATATGTTGGAGAACATGAGCCTCAGTGGCTATTTTTCTTATTTCATTATGGAATTGATCACTGGTGTTACATATTTCGCTTTAGCAGGTTTTGATACGATCGGCATCCAGAATCAATCTAGATAACTGTGAAATTTGAATGTAAAACAAATTAATTAATTTTTTGCCGGGCGCTGTCCTTGGTGTTGCCATTATCTTTGCTTAAGCTCTCTAATGTTGCTCCTGGCACACGAAATGGACTTACTATTCTGGATCAGAGACAAGTCCAAGATCTTCTAAAACAT